TTTATTTATTAATAGTAATTTTAATTTTTAAACCACATTGTTTCTCTACCTTTAATTAAATTAAGATTTAAAAGCTGGCTTCACATCCCAGCTGAGAAAGAAATTTACTGACATCTAGATTAAAAAATGACTAGAAACACTGTGTACAACTTGTATTCAATAATCGTTAAATTCAGCAGTAGTCACTTCACTAAATAGTGAAGCTTCGCTCTGTTCTAGAATGGTGATGAAAGAATCTCTCCATATCACTTTATTTCACCACACTACTTTTTTCAAGCCAGACAATGGCAGTGATCTGAAATTAGATAAAATCTTGAGAGATTTTAGTCTGACACATTAAAAAGGAGCATGAATATGAAAATATGCCCTAAACAGATGGAGATAAATTCCATTACCTTCAAACTTAATAATATTTTAACATTTTTATCCCATTACCATAAACTACCAACAAAATTACAAGTTACAAATATTTACAAATATTTTTCAAAGCAGCCTCTAAAATGATGAATTAGGTGAGGAATTGGAAATAATCTGCCTTTCCATGGTAATAAGAGGAAAAGAAAAACTTTCCACAAAATACAGTACTTTGCTTCTTCCCTTGCTAAGGCACTAACAAGAGATACAAAGGCACCATTGTAAGGTCAGCACTGTGGCTCCTCTAGCTCTCGGTACATAAAGCTATTCCATCCTCAAGTTTCTGAGGCAGAGAAACTTCATAGCCTTTATTGTTTCACACATAAGTGTAGAGATGCTTCTTAAAATAATATATACATATAATTTTTTTATGGAGATTTTTTCTCTTTATTTAGAAAATTAAGACTTGTATACATCAAATAAAACCAATTTCTGAGAGGAAAAACCAAACCCACAATAGAAAAAAAAAAGTTAACACTGTCTGGGCCATAGCACAACCCAGAGGATATATTCGCATTATTGAAAAATTCTAGGCTCTTCATAATTGACCTTTTGATACAAAATGACCTGTTAAATTTGCAGTTTGTGTTTCCTGGTGTTGAGGTCCATAGGAAAAGCTAGGAAGTCTTCAAACTTTGATCTGAATTCCATTAGGGGTTATTTGGCTTTCGAGTCAGTTTTTCCTCATCTGAGAGGTAGCAGCAGCAACAGCGCCCACCTTCTGAGCAAATGATGCATGCAACAATGCAAATACTAATTCCTCTGACTTCGCTGAGTCATTCACGTAACACCATACCAGACTCATGGAATTGACTCTGAACAAAATTATCAGTTCTCAAGTAAGAACATACACTAGAATATGACACAGAAAGTTGCAGGGCTTAATAAAAAATAAAGTTCAGAGATCATTTTAGTGGTCTGATTATTCTTAATGAAACCTCAATTTATGCCTTTGAGTAGCTTATGGAGTCAGAATTTCAGTAGTGTATTTCATTGTTGTTACCATAACTTATGAACCTTCTACATGCAAAGAGGAAACAAATCAGTTTTCCCAACTACTACCCTCAGCCTGTGTTGTCAAATTGGTGAAGCAGAAATCATCAGCTGCTGGCTTGTGTGGTTACAGCCACCCTACTCTCCTCCTACCAGTCCCCTCTCCAGGAGGCTGAACCAACCTCATCTCTGATCCTAGTTCAATTTAACATAAAAGTACGTGGACAATACCTAATGTACACTTAAACAATTAGGCAAACAACTTTTTAAACTCTTTGTAGATAAATGATACTACATGTAAATTATACTATTGCTGATAATTTGATTTTCATCAATATATTGTAATGCTTGAATTTTTTACAATAAAAGCAATGGAATTTAAATCCATTATTCTTGGCTCCAAGATTTGGATGTAATTTCCATGCCATTATTTTCTGGATGAACTTTATCTTTAAAGACACTGTGAATAAAATATTTTAAAGAAGGTCTGAGTAATAAGACCCCAAGAGTGAGGTTTTTGAGGGATTTCATATTGATGATGTTGAAGAAAAACACTCATCTATAAAAAGATCTAGGAATAAACTTAAATCAAAGATAAAATAAATATAATGATACTTCATAGAGACAAAATAAATCTTTAAGAATTGGATTATTACATAACTTAATGTAAGATATTTAGAAAAGGTAAAGCATTTCTAAGTGGAATAATCATCCATTAGCAAATTGGTTTCTTTTAACAATATTATAGTTCTTTCTTCAACATCTCTATTTCCAAGTATTAAAAAACAAACCAACCAAAAACTAAAATCTTGGGGCCAGCCCGTGGCTCACTTGGGAGAGTGTGGTGCTGATGACACCATGGCCGCGGGTTCAGATCCCTATATAGAGATGGCCGGTTTGCTCACTTGGGAAAGCGTGATGCTAACAAAAACTAAAATCTTCAACTGACTTGCCCTGGTACTTATAACTCCAGAAGCATCTGCACAGTTTTCCTATTAATGAAAATCAAGAATAAAAACATAAATAGATGAATACTAATATACATTGCATTAAACTAGTCTAATCAGGAATTCGATGACAACTTTCATTGTTTTTGCACTGCCTACTCACCTCACACACATGAATATAAACAATAATCTTCACTTAATTTTATTTACTGAGCTTACTATAAAATAAAATGTACAGTATTCATAAAGAAAAATAAAGTATAAGTTTGAAAAACTCACTAAAGGAAAGATATTAAAAGAAGTTGTTTTATTTAATTCATTCATTAAAGCACTGTATGATCTGCTTGGACACCCCCACTCAGAAGACTGTTGGGTTGAAATCACTTCTGTTTGAAATGGAGTGGAATTTCAGAGGCTACAGCTATTTGCACTACAAGTATTAAAGCAATTTAGTCATATGGCGGCAAGAACCTTTAGAAGTAACCTGGGTTCACAGGTGAAGTCCATGGTGTACATGTAAAAGGAAACAAGTAGCCTGTCCTGACCAGGAGTCAGTGTGGCAGCATCTTCTGAGCATCACATTTTTCTTCCAGTGTATGTGAAGATCCCTAGGGAAGCTCACTACTACAGACATCCACGATGGTAGTGACAAGTATGAACACTGCTGAGAAACAACTCCAGGAGGAAAGGTCAAGAGTTATGTGCAGAGAAAAAAGTATTTCCAGCTACAGACAGCCCCTGAGAATCAAAGTACAGCTACAACTTTAGTTGCCTTATTCTGCGTTTGTAGCAAAGAGAATCTAAGTTAGTATGGACACTGTGCTTAAGCCTTTTACCCAAAATGTGATCATGTTTGGATTGCTTGTCTTATTTTAGTGCACTGCTTTCTTCATCATTTATAATTCTGTCAAGTGTGAATGTAGCTGAACTACTACATATGAAACATAAGAGCTTGTGTTGCCAGATAATCAGGAAATCCAGAGGTCTAGGCAATACCAGAGACCTTACAGATAAGGAAACAAAGGCCCTAGCAGTTAAATGAATATACAATATTTAAAACTAGGTGGTTATGAATGTGAGGCACTAAATATTAACATTGTAGTGCTTATTCTAATAATATACATGTTACGCTAAATATAAAATGTGCATAATGACATACATTACATAGTAGTGATGCACATAAATGCACATAAGTAAGCATTCAATGAATAAGAAAAGATAATTCCTGTAGATTATCACAGAAAACAAATGTTCACACAGGTGATTTTTTCATCTGACAACTAATCGATTCCATTCGTCAAAAGTCTAAATTTTAATTTATTTCTATTTAGGCATAAATTAAGACCCTTCTTAACATTTATAGGCTCCTGGTATTGGAAAGAAGCTCAAAGGTCACCAGTTCTCCTTCATATTTGGATGTATTTGTTTGGAAAACAGCAACAATGTCTCATGGCTGTTCCTTACCATTTTATTCCCTGGACCAGTAAGGGATGCTATAGTTCACATAAAAAGAAGCAGCACTTACATGAGAATATGAGTGAATCCCCAGTGGTTCTTCTATTAAGGAACCATTCTATAAAATGAGTCCATTTCCTGAGATACATGCCCAGTCTTGGGTAGTATTGGAACCAGGCAGCAACAAGATTGGAGCCGACAATGGTCTCCATTTGCTTGCTCACCCACCAGACCCCAAGCATTTATTATCAACACTGTGCTTTATCCACTTCATGTTCAACCATAACTAGCATAACCTTTCCCTCCCCTGCTCACCATGCCCACTACTGTGCATGGCACTGGGATGAATGAATAGATGGATGGATGGATGGATGGATGGATGGATGGATGGATGATGGACGGATGAAGCGAATAAGTACATAAAATTTTCCTCTTTTGTTCCACTATAGTTCATAGGATTTATTCAAATACCAGGATGAAATCTTTATCTTGTCCTCCAGGGAAATGTCATTATTTTTCTTGTTAAAACTTACTGTCTGTAGCTGGTCAGTTTCTAACTATAATTTTAAAAAAAGATATTATAACTTGGGTAGCACACCTCAAGACCTGGGAATTAAAAAAATATATATCTGTCATGATTCGACTGAAAAAATTAATGTTTTCTAAATGATATCTTCTTTGTCAGTTAGCCATATGTGTGCCTATCAGTATGAAAGGGATTAGGATTAGAGTTAGAGCTAGAGTTGAAGTATTGCCCTGGAATGCTTTAGTAGTTAGAGAGAGAGAGAGAGAGAAAGAGCTAAACTTTAGATTTGAAAGTCTGATTTGGGGAAGTTCTTATGATTTACCTGCAAATGAAATGCAGTTCTGTTGTTAAAGTGAGGCATGAGTTATTTTACAGCAAAAGAGAAGGTAGAATATAAATTGCACCATTTGTTTGTTTTTGAAAATGCACCCGGGTCCTGTGGGTATACATACTCTAATTGAAGTTATTTCAAAAACAATTACTTGCCAGTTTCACTCTCACCTAGCATGGGGAGGTGTGTTTCAATTAGTGGGTTCTTGCCAGTACTTCCTCATACTGTCTAGGTAGCTCTTTGAAAATTAGGAGGTTGTAGAGACATAGGAAGGAAAACTCATTAACTGGCCCTCAGAGAGTTGAGAAATAAAGTGTGGGTTTGTACTACTCACGGCTCTGCCTGTAGGCTCCTGTCCTCGGCCACATAGTTAGAAGGAATATAGCCCTGCAGTTGCTGCCCGGAGCCATCTCCCCTTTTCTCCAAACGTCTGGCAAACCACCAGCCCTCATGGGAAGTGTCCAGGACTTGGAGTTTGTCGCCCGCACGGAAACTCAGGTCCTCTGCGGTTCGAGCCTGATAATCGAACAGAGCCACAAAGTAGCGGCCCTGGCTTCTCTCCGGCTCCTGCCTCTGTGACCGGGGAGTGTCAGGGGAGGAACGGGCCCCTGGATTCTCAATCACCACCGGCTTGTCTGCCTCCTGGGACAAGCCGGGAAGACAGGGCTCCATGTACTCCCGGAGCCTCACACAGACGTTGCCCATGGTGCCCTGATGAGGAGAAGGGGAGAGGGGTTTCTCCGTCTCCCCTCAGTCTCTGCAGATCCACTTTCTGTTCCTCCACCAGGCAACTCTGAAATCAGCACCAATTCACCATACCTTGGAGAGTGTGCAAAGTCTGTTTCAGAACAGTCCGGCAGACATGGTTACAACAAGCCCTACCTGGAGAGACTCACCGGCTTGCTTTCTATGGCCATACCTGCTGCCCCAGAGCAAAACCGAGTGGGAGCCAGGCAGCTGCTCAGTGGAAAGATGCCTTTTCTTCTTGTCTGCTTAAGAATCCCACAACAAAAATAAACTAAAAGTAAGAGGGCTTTATTTAGACAAATTTCTGAGAACAGAAATGTGCCATCTTGCCTTTTGTCCCAAGAAAAAGTTAGCAAGAGAAAGATACTAACTCCAGGTAAAGTCTCCACGCCTTGCCTTTGCCTGGAGCCCTCTCCCTGCTTCAAGTTGGTTCCTGTCATTTGACCAGTCCTGATTCCAACTGCTCTTTCCTTTTTGCTAATGAATAACCAACCAGCGGAGCCTATTGCCTTTAACATCCTGAGCTATGTACAGACTGTAATAATTTCTCCTTACTTCCTGGTTTCTTTCTGTCCGTGATCTAAATGGGATTCCCGTCCTCTTTACCCCTCCCTTCCCCTACACCCAAGATAGACCAGCTCCTTACCCGAGAGCCAGTTAAAGCAGCTGCCAAAATCCACAGTCCTTTCATTTTACTCTGGAGAAACAGGCTAGCCCAGATAGCTTTTTGTCTTGCTAAGTTCCCAGCACAGAAATTGAGAGCAGAGATTTTTTTTTCTTCACATGTATGAGTAGGATTGTTTTGCCACCACTAGGGGAAATAAAAAAGGCAAATTTAAAGTGTTCAGGTATTTGTTGACAGATGCAGTGCAACTGGAAAAGAACCATTGAGTCCCTCCCTTTTTTCATTGCCAGGAATAGATTTTAATGATCTCAAAGTATAATCACAATCTGGAAAAGTAAAAGAACTTACTAAAACACTGAGAACTCACAACACTGCTTTTTCCCACAGAGACATTTGATTTCCCATCCATCAAGTACTATTTCTGAAACACACACACACACACACACAAAGTGACCAAGGGACAGAAACTGTAGTAGAGGGCTTTCTGTGTGCTGCTGTAAAGTCTCTTTCTGTTAAACTTTGACCTCAAGGTCTACACTAGCTCTTACTAACTTTGTTGGCAGGGACTCAGAAACTAATGAGGCTGAGATCAGGACACCCGTCCTGAGGCGGGCAGTGGGTTTTGCTCTACTTCCCTTAGTTCAGAGCAGTTTTCTCACAAATGTGGGTCCTATATCACAAGAGGGACAGGGCAACAAGTTTGGGCAGATCAACACACTGTCATTCATGCTAGTAGAATGCAAAGAGATTTATGATGTTTTTATATATGACATTTGTTTTCAAAGTTTCTCTCTTAAAAACAACCTTTTCAATTGCTGTCAGAGCTTTGAAGCAGTCTAACGAAGCCCTAACACAATCTCAAAACTCCTGTTCATTGTCAAATTGCAAGGCATTTTAGTAATCAGAATAATCAAACTCAAGAAACAAAAAAGAAGGAAAGAAAGAGGGAGGGAGGGAGGGAGGGAGGGAGGGAGGGAGGGAGGAAGGAAGGAAGGAAGGAAGGAAAGAAGGAAGGAAGGAAACCAGAGAAGCACAGCCTCAATCTCACCTGCTATAACCCAGTACTAAAGTCAGGGACTAGCAATGCACGGATCATTTGGTTAGAACAAGATCTTGTGTCATGCTGCCAGTTTTCTCCAATTGTCTTTGGAGTCAGAGTAAAAGTAATAACTCACAGGAATAGAAAAACCGAAAGCTAAGCTAGGTTTTGTTTTGTTTTGTTTTTTAATGATATGGGACCTAAAGTAGAAAGAAGAGAAAATAATAATTATGTAATATTGAGAAACGATAAAGAATATTTTGTTCCAAACACAACATTAATTATAAAAGTGTAGGATTCTATGAATGCCCCTAAACAGAGACACAGATTCTAAAGTCTTTCCTGAGACCTCTGCATGATCTAGAAATGAAAGATTTGGAGCAGAGAGACGTATTCAAACCCAATTTGTAAGTGGGGTTTGAAACTTTAAAAATTTGAAGTTTCTAAATTCAAATAAGACTTCACTATGGTTATGACAAGGCCTTCTGGGAAAAGACAAAGCAGCAGACCTGCATAGCACAGTCACTGAGCAAGAAAACGAAATTCAAAAAGCGACCAACCATTGAAAACTGTCAGGCGAGCAATGGTGTGACAAAGCAGAGCCAAGGGCTGGGATCAGAAAGGGTTTCCTGTATCGATAGTACAAGAATTCTCCAGTCACCCGAGCATGAAGCCTCACAGTCATCTTTTACTCGCTCCTTCCTGGTTTCTTTGAGCTAATCAATCACTAAATTCTGTTCAGTCTTCCTCTTCATTTATTCCACAAACTTTTTTTAAAAACTCCTTCGGATGACAGCAGGGCACTAGTCAGAGAACAGAATATTCTTCCTTAGATTATTCCAGAAGCCTCCTAACTGGTCTCCCTTTCTCCAGCTTGTTCCCATCTCTGGCTCATCTTTCACACCAAGTATAGTAGTGTTTATAGTAGTTTATAGAACAGTTTTTATAATAGCAGCAATGACTAAGCTGATATGAATACTAGTAAGAGTAGCTATATATTTTGGAAGGCTTTCTGTGTGCCACACACTGTGATAAGACAAATGAGATCCAGCAATCCACTTTAGGGTATATATCTGATGGATATGAAACCAGTATGTCCAAGTCCATTCCCATATTCATTGCAGCATTATTCACAATGACCAAGATATGAAATCAGCCAAATTATCCATCAATGGATGAATGGATAAAGAAAATGTGGTATATATACACAATGGAATGCTATTTAGCTTCAAAAAAAAGAAAGAAATCCTGTTATTTGCAACAACATGGATGACCACGGAGGACAGTTTGCTAAGTGAAATAAACCATGCACAGAGACAAATACCACATGTTCTCCCTTATAAGTGGAAGCTAAAAAAATAAATCAAAAACATAGAAGCAGAGAGCAGAATGGTGGTTAGCAGAGGCTGGGGAAAGTGAGAAATGGAGGGATGTTTGTCAAAAAGTACAATGTTTCGATTATACAGGAGGAACACATGATATGTGAAGTCAGGGACATGTTAATTAGCTTGATTTAATCATTTCATATTATATACATACATCATAGCATTACTTTGTACCCCATAAATATACCCAAATATAACTGATCAATATCCAATAAAAATAAAAATAAATAAAAGAATGCCACAAATGATAAATCATTTAATTCCCAGAAAATAAAAAACAATACCTATGAAGAAGGTAGTATTTTTTATTGTTATTATTTTAGAGAGGAAACTGAGGCTTAGAGAGGTTAGGTAACTTGCCCACGGTCACAAAGCCACCAAATAGCTGAACCTTGAGTAACACCCTGGTATCAATCTGACTCCAGAGCCATAGATTGTTAATCTCCAATTTTGCTAACTCTAAAAAAAAATCTAATATTATTCTTCCGTGTGAAATCCTTATATAACCTCAACACATTCGGAATAAACCTAAACTCTTAAGCATGACACACAAAACCCTGCTAACTTCTCCAACTTCGTGTTCCCTCACTCCTGCACACATGCCCTATGATATAGTTCACCAAACAATGAGCAGCTCCTGAGCCAAGGCCCTCTTCCCTGCTGCACCTTTGTATCCTCCTCTACCTGCTCCCCTGATGACTTCCTTGTCATTTTTCTAGGTTGGGTTCAAGCATTACCTTCTCTGCCGTAATAGATTAGAGGCCCCTACTCTGCAACTCTAAAACCTGGCACACCTTGTACTTGTTATTTGTTGAGCCCCTCTTGGATTCCTTACTTGTTTTTTTCCCAAGAGAAAAGAATATTCTTCTCTGAATCTTCAGTGCTTTGTACAATGTCTAGTATGTAAATAGTGGATGCTCAAGAAGTATTTGTTGAATTAATTAAGACAGAAAGAAGCAGGGGAGAGAGGAAGTAAGGAAGAAGGAAGGAAGATGGGAGAAAGAGAGACAGAAAAACACAGAGAAAGGCAAGGAAGGAAAGACAGAGAGAGAGAAAGACCGTTGCAGTGAGATAAAACACTTATGCTAATACTCACAGTAGAGAGAGAAAGGTCTAAGTGTGGAAGGTGCCAGGAGCACACAGGAGAGTGACTTCCTGTCTACCGTCTCCCAATCCTGTCCTTTCCTTTCTCTTTGTTCCCTGAGTATTGGCTTCCTTTGCCAGCCTCCTAAACCAGTTTTTCTGCCTCTAGTCACTGTTCCTCTCATCATTAGAGCAAACTGCCACCACATCAATCCTCTTAAATCACTCTCCTGAACAATAATCTTCAACACATCCTCATTGCCTGGAAGATACGGCTTGAAATTCAAGGCTAAGGAATTTATGCTTTATCCAGTCTTTATCAGACGTACTCTTTCAACATCCCTCTCCATTACAGCCTCACATTATCCCTCCCTCCCATTCAGCCATATTGGTTTATTGGGTCTCCGAATATGCCTTATTCATTCCCACATCTGATCCTGTCTCTTTGCGATTCTTTTGCTTAATATTCCTTCCCCTCCTTGCAGACTCCTGCCTGCATTTCAAGGTTGGAATAAAAATCCCACACCTCCTTTAGGCCTTCCTTGACTATTCCTGCCAAAATTAATTTCTCTCTCCCTTGAATTTTCTAGCTCCTGCAATCCCCACTGCCACCCAATACAGACATTAAATGAATTTAACCACGCTCCAATATGTGGTTTACTGAATGCTACTACTGAAAATCCAACAGATATTCAGTTTTATTCCAGGACAAATTAATGATCTCCAATTCCTGCTAGACCCTCAGCACCACTCAATATTCTTCTATGTGTCAATCTGGTCAGCCACAGTTCTCTTGAATATCCCCAAATACTATTCCAGATCACCC